ACTATATTAATTTTATTTTATTTCATATATAATCAATATTTTACATAACAGGTTTTTCTCTAAAAATTGGTATAACATTAAAGCCTTATGTCTAAATAAGTTATGTTCCAAATTTGAAGTTGATATGAAAAAAATTGAGGTTCCTGTGAGATTTTATTTAGGGCGTTATACCACAAACAGCCACCGGGTGCCATCCAAACTCCATTGAATTTTTTTAATGCATTTTTCTGTCACAAATGTTTAGATTTCTCGGTCAATATTATTCTATCTCAAAATAACCACCAAATATGGAATCCTGAGACTCAGACCTTTCCAATTATATATTTTCTGTCAAGATTATAAAAATGTTTGATTCTAAAAGACCGTAATCCATTTTGTAATATGACACTTGACACTGCCCACTAAGGGGGAGGAGACCGCCAAAAGATTTTAAAGTACCATTTCCATGGTAACGCAATGTCCGATTTCAAAATGGTTTTCACAGGATGAACATTGGGCTTCTAAGCTTTCAAAAGATGATTTATGATGATTAATAAAAGATTTGATAGAGAAAAAGGACACAAAAAAAAGCGCCAAGCGTCCCACAGGTGGGACGGTGACTAAGGGGTTAATGATTTTTTCCTCACACGAGCTAAGCCAGAAATGTCCACTTCAGTATTCATTTTTCAGTTTTTATTTACCTAGTGCGTGTGGTACACTTAAAAGATTAAGGAATACTGCTCTACCACTGCTACATATTCTATTGTGAATCTCCCTCATCCTTTTGATTTTATTGCAGTGGACAGTGATCCCCACTTCATCATTCACTTACCCAAAAACAACATGGACATCTGCTTCAACACTGACTCCAAACCAGGACACATCCTCAACCTGATTTCAGATCCTGGAACAGGTCATTTGATGTCTTCCATCACTTGAAAAAACTGAAGTCGTTTATTTATTTCATATTCCATATGTGTTTTGTTCCTGTCCAGGAGTTACAATCAACGGTCAGTTGGTTGGGTCTAAGAAGATGAAGAACAACAAAATCCAAACATATTTCGGCACCATCTCCATATACTCTAAAACAGACAGTGTGCAGGTTATAGTAGGAACTGACAGAATCGATCTGATGGAAGGCAGGAACAATCACTTCTTCTCTTGGGGAGCCACAGTTGAGCTTGCACTTAACAGGTATCAAAAACAAATTTACTCCAACAAACATCACAAACATCAGTGACTGCAAGCTAGTAAACTTTACAATATACTTGAACTGCAGACAAAACTGTAGTTTTGTTAAGTGAAATGTGTTTTGTCCATCATATGGCCATAATTTTTTAAGAGGTTAAGAGTATTTATAACATTTTACTTTTCCAAAATGAAATTGAATATTCAATAGAATATTTTTTTATCCGTTTTATATTCATTTAATTGGATCATGTGATATTATTGGCTATTATTAAAAACTGTTTTTTTTTTCTTTTCTTTTTGACGACATGCATAATAATACTGGGGACATTTATTATGGAAGCAATAATTTATGTTTTATTTAGGGATAGTTCACCCAAAAATGAAAAGTCTGTCATTAATTACTCACCCTCACGTTGTTCCAAACCCATAAGACCTTCATTCATCTACAGAACACAAATTAAGATATTTTTGATGAAATCCGAGAGCTTTCTGACCCTGCATAGACAGCAACGCAACTGAAACATTTTATGGCCCAGAAAGGTAGTAAGGGCATCATTTAAACAGTCCACGTGACTTCAGTGGTTCAACCTTAGTTTATGAAGTTATGAGAATACTTTTTGTGTGCAAAGAAAACAATTTCTTCTCTTCAGTGTCAGAGTTCAACGCGTGTTCAAGAGAGTGCCACGGCACATGCGTGTGGTGCTGCCATTATCGCGGGAAGTAGGGGTGCTGAGGGTGATGGGGGTCCGGTGTTAAAAATAAATTTATGAACAGTTTATAACAAAAAATAATTAAAATTAATTTGAATATTAATTTAAATTCATTGGAAAATGTAGCCTAAGCTGACAAGAAGCAATTGTTAAACATGAGTCAAGTTGAATCAAATTGACTGTGAAAGTCATTTCAACTTATTAAACTGACTTAAAAAATCATTTGTTGCCATTATTTTTTGATTATATTATTACCTGTAGTGTGCCGTACCCAAATTAAGAATGAATGACCATTTCTACTGACATAGCAAAGAGACCATTTCTACTGACATAGCAAAGAGACCATTTCTACTGACATAGCAAAGAGCAACAAATCTAGCATTCTCACATCTGTAGCGCTTATTTTGATCTTTAATGTTAGATCTTTCCTATTGTTGAAACAAAATTAATGCTTAAAGTTGATTCAGTATTACTCTTAATGAAAAAAAAACACACACACAAAACATCAGCAATGCTACAATGTCAAAGTTGCTGACTCGTTATATTAAAGGGGTCATATGATGCGATTAAAATTTTTCCTTTCTCTTTGGAGTGTTACAAGCTCTTGGTGCATAAAGAAGATCTGTAAAGTTGCAAAGACTAAAGTCTCAAATCCAAAGAGATATTCTTTATAAAGTTAAGAGTCAGCCACGCCTACCTAAAACGGCTCGTTCTAACACGCCCCCACATGTCTACCTCACTATGTGGGAAGATTTGCATGTAAGTACGTTTTCATAAATTAAAGGATTTGCCACTGACGATTCAAATGCGAGTTTTGATCAGTGTAGAGTAGCGCTTGTTGTTTGTAATTTCTCCGATCACAAATGCAGACATGGTTTTGATGCAATGCAACGCGTAAAAAGACAGTATAAGTCATTATAATCAGTAATTATGTCCCCACTGGATACAACAAATGCCTCGTTTATAATGGGTTTTCATGTTTTTGAATCATCGCTCCGGCCGGACATTTGCATATATTAAACATCTAACTTTTATTAGCAAAATGAATAAGGTGGATTGCATTGTAACCCAAATAAGGTATTTTCCCTTATTTAAAACAAATGCTTAGTTTGTGGTTCATTGTTATTCTTTATTGAAAACCCAACAACAATCACTTATATTAAACGAAGAAATGAAAGTGCCTTGGTACTGTTGTGAATGAGAAGAACATGGAAGAGAAGAAATTGTTGAATATAGTCCTATTTTTGTTTTCTTTGCACACAAAAAATATACTCGTAGCTTCATAAAATTACGGTTGAACCACTGATGCCACATGGACTATTTTAATGATGTCCTTACTACCTTTCTGGGCCTTGAATGTGTCAGATGTACTCTACACTGCCCAAAACTCGCGTTTGAATCATCAGTGGCAAATCCTTTAAATATGAAAAATGTACTTCCAGTCTGTGAGTCAGAACAGCCGGCATTGTAGTCTACTCTCCCAGGATCAGGAATAAAATGCCCAGCGCATTTTATTCCTGATCCTGGAAGAGTAGACTACACATCTGAATATTTGGGTTGAACTGTTCTGGAACAGTGTTGTAAATGCAACTCAACCACTGATTTCTAGTCGTGTCCTCTTTTGGAAGACCAAACAAAGTAGTTTCGCTTTCACAACGAAACACACAGCACCTTCACAACATGGCGGCGGCGGCAACAACAATACTACACCGAGAATAAAAGTTACGCCTTCTTTCTTTGCGTGAACATTTGGGCGGCGTTATGCAAATCTTCCCACATCGTGACGTAGACATGTGGGGGCGTGTTAGAATGAGCCGTTTTAGGTAGGCGTGGTTGAATCTTAACTTTTATAAAGAATATCTCTTTAGATTTGAGACTTTAGTCTTTGCAACTTTACAGATCTTCTTTATGCACCAAGAGCTTGTAACACTCCAAAGAGAAAGGAACAATTGAAATTGCATCATATGACCCCTTTAATTTGTGTTCTGAAGATGAACGAAGGTATCTCGGATTTGGAACGACATGAAGGTGAGTAATGACAGAACTATCCCTCTAAATACAGTTCTCTGCATTATGCAAAACTCTTGCTTATTAGGATTAGGGTCACCATAGTGAAAGAGCAACATGTTACCGTGACGATTGATGGGAAGATTTCAGTGATGGTGCTTTTGCATCGGGTGTGGAAGAAACATCCTGTGCAGGTGGACTTCCTGGGCATTTACATGTCTAGCGACAACAAATACTCCACACAGGTTCATGGTCTCATTGGTAAGTTACTTAATATTTAAATGTACGAAACAGCTTAAACACATTATTCATCACACCAACAAGTGTGTGGGTCTTGTTCTCAAAAATGGATTTTGACCGTCTCATAACAGGTCAGTTTGCACAGGAACCAAAAGTGAAGGTGTACGGCGTGCATGAGGGAGCAGATCCAAAGAAGAAAGAGGCCACAATGGAAGTGAAAGGCAACAAACTAGCTGTCACCAGGTACTATCACATACAAATCTAATTTCTCATTATGTCGGGTTACTTATATTTTCCCCTACCCATAAAAATAACAATCACAGAAACTGTGCAACACACTAGATTTAAATAGAAACATGATTTGACTCATTTATAAGACCTTTAATTAATAAGGACGTTAAATGTCCTCACTAGTTGGTTGTCTGTTACAATTTCTCTGGCAATCAAAAATATCATCCTGTCCAGAAAAAAGATTTTAATATATATTAAAATCTACCTAACTGAAACACATAAAACAAAAAACCTACCATGATGTATAAATACTACACAATTCAAATAGTTTATAATTTTTTCACATTACAGCAATAAGAATTTGGGGAGGAATGTATAATTTTCATGAAAATAATATGACATTTACTTTGACTGAACTTAAGATCCACCCAATCCAATCATATTAAAATTGTGCAATATCTGTATATCAATCAGGGGCTGGCAGAAGGATTACAGACATGACAAGAAACGAGGTTCAGATGTCTACTGCTGGTTCATCCATAACAGTGGGAAAGGCTTCATTGATGGCAGTTACACCAGCTATATCCTGCCTCAGCTGGACAGCTTCCTGACCGCTATCTGAGAGCATGAGTGTGGCAGCAAGCTTAGGACACTTGCTAAGAGATTGGTAGAAATCTGTTATTTTATACAAGCAATAAGAAGCAAAGAAAACCAAAACATGCCATTTTGCCATTTAAAAAAAAGTTTTTTTATTCTACAAGAAAATATATACAAAACATAGGAAAACAGTGATGCACATCAACCAACTGAACTGAAATTACTTAATAATTAAAGCCAATCAAAAACTAATGTATTGTAAGACTTCTGACTTGAGCGTCTGCAGTGAGACATTTAATCGAAAATTTGATTAATTAAATATTTTAATCATATGCAACCGTTTTCAATGACAATGGGGGAAAAAAAACACAATAAAAACCATTGGTCATTTTGTTCCAATATGTAAATCAGGTCATTTAAGAGTCTTTATTATGCACTCTGACACAGCAGAGGCGCCGTAGAGAAGAGGAAAGAACATCAGGCCAATTTGGAGAAGTCCTCATATGCAATCCCCTCCACTGTCTTTCCTTTCATCCGACCCTAAACCAAGACAAAAAAAAAACGTGCTTTAGATGAGTGGCTCTCAATCCTGGAGAACAGTTGTGCTGCTTAATATTTTAGTGGACAACACAAAACATTGTGTTCAGGATTCTTTGAATAGAAACTTCAAAAAGAACAGCAAAAATCCAATTTTTGTTTATAAATGTATCTACTCACTTCTGAGCGATTGAAGGTATCTTTGCTGCATTCTTACTACATCAGCTACAAAATCACACTCTAATTTCATTAGGTGCAATGAATTAGAGCCAGCATTTTAATAGTGTGCAGTGACAATTCTCCTAGTGAACTTACCGAGTCTAACGTGAGTGTAGCAGAGAATTTGTGCTCATTTATGCCTTCCAGGATAGCCTCTGTGTTTTTATATTGACCGTTCACAATCAAAACGCGCTTACCTAAAACAGAATGAGAGATTAGATTGAGAATTTCTATCTTTCTTCATTTTGAGTTACACTGAAAACAGTAACGGGTAATACCAGGAGCTGGAATGACCGTCTCCAAATGACTCTGGTCCAGTTTGAGTTTGTCTCCAGAGTCGATTATCTTCACCACAGCCGTGTATTTATCCTGCACTTCCTGTAAAATCACACGCATGCACACAGTATCACTGTAGGAAACATCTAATCACTCTGTGTGTCCTGTAATGACAGCGCTGCAGTTACCCGAATGACTGCTTTCTTCTTGTAATACTTCTCTCCCAGTTTCTTAGTTATCACTTTCACTACGATGTTTGCTTGTATCCAGTTATCCGATCTTACAGATTTCTTCTTCTGTTCCTCCATCTGGAAGACACACAAAGGGAAAGTTCTGGTTGAATCCTAGCTGATAAATGTGCAACAAAACGGCATGATCTGCGTGGATTTCATCATGAATATATAACACCCAACGTTACAACAAAAGTAGCTAAAAAGAAAAACGTTAATGAAGAACGTGCCTCTATTATCTCATCCAGAGCCGATTTCTTTTTCTTGTCCTTCGAGTCTCTGATGTGGGAAGACTCTTTCCTTTTCGCAGAGGCTGCAGCTTTAAGGGCACTAGGACCCAAAGTGGTGCTATAGAAATAAAAACGGATCTTTATTGTCACCCAAACTACAGCCATATTGCTTTATGAGACTTTTAGACTGGTTATACCTTGTTTTAGACGGTCCTGCTAAAGCAATGTCCAAATTAAAAGCTACTTTCTCATCTTCATTCATTCGCTTCAGTTCGGTGAACACTGGTTCTTCCTGTTTGGACAATGAAAATTTGAGCAAGATGAAATAAAAAGAAAGAAAACTTTTTTTTTTCCCCCCAGCACACAAACACACCTCTGGCTCCTTGCCCTCTTGGCCGCGGCGAACTTGTTCTTCGATGAATTTGGCGCTGCGCTCTTCATCATCCATATCCTGTTTCTTCTTCCTCTCTAGCTCTTCCTGTCTGCGGATCGTCTCCGGATCACGATCAATGTACTGGACGTACCAGCCCTTAGGCGTCTCATCCACTTTGCAATAACCTGTACACACAATCTAAATGAAACACCTAAACTCTACTGTGCAGAAGTCATCAAGAATGCATTTATCTGATCAATGAATGAATGAATGATGCATTTATATAGCGCTTTATTGTGTATTGTTGTACACCTAAAGCGCTTTACAATCAGGTGGGGTGGGGTGGGGGGTCTCTCCTCAACCACCACCAGTGTACAGCATCCACTTGGATGATGCGACGGCAGCCACTGGACAACGGCGCCAGTGCGCTCACCACACACCAGCTACAGGTGGAGATGAGAGAAAGTCATAGAGCCAATCAAGTGGTTGGGGATTATTAGGAGGCCATGATTGACAAGGGCCAGGGGGGCAATTTGGCCAGGACACCGGGGTTACATCCCTACTCTTTACGAGAAGTGCAATGGGATTTTTAATGACCACAGAGAGTCAGGACCTCGGTTTAACGTCTCATTCGAAAGATGGTGCTTTTTGTCAGTATAGTGTCCCCATCACTATACTGGGGCGTTAGGACCCACGCAGACCACAGGGTGAGCACCCCCTGCTGGCCTCACTAACACCTCTTCCAGCAGCAACCTAGTTTTCCAAGGAGGTCTCTCTCCCATCCAGGTACTGACCAGACTCAGCCCTGCTTAGCTTCAGTGGGCAACCAGTCTTGGGCTGCAGGGTGATATGGCTAATCAAAAATAGTCATTTGGTGAAATTTCAAAAATGCACTTTATTCCTGTGGTGAATTTTCAGCATCATTACTCCAGTCTTCAGTGTCACATGATCCTTCAGAAACAATTCTAATATGCCGATTTGAAATATTTCTTTTTATTATAAATGCTGAAAATAGTTGTGCTATTTCATATTTTTTTGGTGGAAGCCACAATGCTTTTTCAGAATTCTCTGAGGAATATAAACGTAAAAAGGACAGAATTTCTTTCAAATATATATATTTTTTGTAACAATGTAAAACGTATTCACTGTCACTTCGGATCAATTTAATGCATCCTTGCTAATTCAAAAAAAGAAAAGAAAAAAATTGAATGGTATTGTATGTTGTGCATATCTGGGGTTTTAGTTCAATAAAATGTATAGGATGCTTGCCTTCTCTCCCAAGCCATTTGGTGAAGTCGGTGAGAGTCTCCCACTGAGTAGAGTTCATGTGAACGTGCTCCCGATGACTGATGTACTCATTATACACAATGTTATTGTGAACTCGCTTAGTCCCTGCAAAAAAACGAACACGGACTGTCTTAGCCTACAATAATACTGGATCCAATACTGATGAATGAAAACAGTAGTCACTTACCAAAACGTCTTCGGAGCAGCTCTACGAAGTCACTTTTGAACTCCCTATAAAATCAGAATTTAAAATCACATTTGATCTCAAAGACTCTTTGCTTGAATCTCTTCCACTGCTTCTGTAAACCCATCAGGACCCATGGCAAACACATCCTGATCAACTGTAAGGAGGTGGGCCGCAAGCCTCCCACTTTCACCGATGCTTCCGTCATTGCCACAGAGCTGCTGGACTCTGGCTACGAGTTCGACCAGGGATCCATCATATACAACAGATTTAGGTTTGACGCATAATGCACATTGTTTTATACTAAAAATAGAACCACTTTTTTTATTGCTTTTGATGCCGGTTTGTGTCTTCTTCAGGTCTGTGATTTCATATAAGACAGATGCGAAACCTCTATTTTCCTTGGACACTGTTGCAAGCTCAGGTATTGTTTCATTGTTGGGCTGGATACCCATCATGACGCGTATAACAACAACATAATTGGATTACAGTTGAAACCACAGTAAACATGTCTGAGGCCCAACACGTTTGTGAGCAGGAGTAAATCTAGGGATGATTGATGTATTGTGACGTTGCTTATCGAACAATATTATTATTATTTATTTTTGTGAAATAGTGTTGAGTTTGGAATTAGATTTTTCATTGGGCATCCTCATTTCCCCTATCGTTTTTAGATTTAGATCATCTGTGCCATCATCTAACGCTCACTTTATGTAATCTATGCATGAAATAATAATGCATGGTAAATAATGCGTTTATGTACTCTTTAGAAAATAACAGTCATCAATATTCTTTTTTTTTTCATAATGTAGATCATAAGCTGCATATATAGATGCAATTGTACAAAGTTCACTTGTAGCCTTTAAAATAATTATTTTAATTTGTTTAAATAAAAATGTATAGATCTTCTTTTTGTTTACTGATTGAAAACATTCCAAGACATCATCTCAGGACAGTCGTATAATAATAAGAATAAAGGTAACAACACTAGGGCTGTCAAAATGACTGAAAAACTAAATTAGAATTTTCTACTTTCTATTCTATTCGAATTTAAAAGGCATAATTTCAGTTAGGCGGAAAAAAGCTTTTGGCTTCTCTTCTGAGGGCGTGTCGTGCAAAATATCATGCACGTTTCTTCAAAGCGTAATAAAATAACATGACTATCTTTGGAAAAAAAAGTGCATAATGTTTTTAAAAAGCATGTATAATTAATAAAGTTGCTTAAACAATTAGAAAAAAAACAGCACCATGCATGTATGTATAGTTTAATACAAAGGACCGAAAACCAATCACAAAAGTAGGCTACAGTGGGATGGGGAAAAACCACCATAAAGTCTTGAGACATGTCTTTTAAAAGTTGAACTTGCATTAATTTTACATGGCTTTCTAAACATGCCTCTCTCTGCGAGACACGAGTGCAACGCTGATAGATGTCCCTCTTGGATTTAAATTTTTTTTTAAATCGACAAATATTCAAAAAAAAAAAAAAAAACAGTCCTAGAGTACACACACACATGCACATAGGTAAAATGTCAGGCAGAAACGGTAATACACCCTTTATCTGCCAAATCATGAAAATAATGATCAGTTTAACAGTACTAGACCCAATAAATGAATATATAGTTTTTATTAGTACAGCCTTATATCGTGCTTGTTTTTGTTGACTACATTGACTGGGCTTTAAGATGTGATCAAGTGACACCGGAACTGAATCGATCATTTGTCATGTATTTTATTCAGAAAACATGGGCATCTATGATGACATCGATGCTGATGTGCTGAGGAACTATCAGGAGTTTGCTCTGGTCAACATCATCTACTTCGGGCTGAAGGAGTCCACCACCAGTGAGCAGAGCGCCAGGATGACCGCTATGGACAGCGCCAGCAAGAACGCTTGTGAGTCATTTTATACGTCATCTTCCTTTCAGTTTCAAAAGACTTTGATGGCCAGGTTCCTACATTCCTTGCTAAAGTGTGCTCATTACTAATGTTATCACTCATACTTGAGAATTCTCATTTGCAATCTTGAAATCTTTCTCTCCGTCAGCTGAGATGATTGACAAGCTGACTCTGACCTTCAACCGAACTCGCCAGGCCGTCATCACTAAGGAGCTCATTGAGATCATTTCTGGAGCCGCCGCTCTGTAAGCTGTTTTTCCTCTTTCTTTGCCCATCTCTTACCCTCATTATAACCCATGCATGCCACCTGTCTTCCTCATTCATTATTTGTAGTGGGTTGTGGTTTTCCCTGTTCTGTTACATCCACAGCATGTTTTTATTTCTTTTAATTGAATAAACTAATTTACTTTATGCGTTGTTTTTACACCACAATCACATTAATCCAATTTCCATCTTTCCCTCACTGACCTTCCATAATATGCATGCATTCACCGTTCACAGAAACTGAAGCGTAACTGAGGTAACATCCTGCAGCTGACTATAGAATATAGTGTGCGCTTCTGGAGAAATAGCATTGACAATGCTTTTTTTTTTTTTTTAAGTGTTCTTGCTTTCTTTATATAGAGTTTTTTGTTGAATGTGGTGGGTTCTGTTATTGGGTTTGGTCAAAACAGAGAAGTTAATTTCCCCAGGCCATTAGTAAAAGCTGCATAAGTTAGAGTAAAAGAGCTTATTTTTTTGGTAAAGTGTGACACACTGACTTCTAGTCTTATTGGATAGGCCTGAAACATACTCTATATGCAAGTACATGAATGTAAATGCTTCTTTCATGTAGAATGTTTCTGGCCTTGAACTTGACTAATATATATTCACACCAACACAAATGTTTGTCACAACCATTCGTGTGCAATTTGACTGTTCAGACCAATGCTGAAAAGAAAACGGCAGAAAGGCTGAATGAAATCACAAATTCACTCTCTGCCAGCAGGTGGAGCTTGTTAAACAGCAGAAATACTGCGTTAAACAAGGATGGCTGTGTGCAACTTTACACAACTTCCTCCACTGTTCATTGTAGCTCAGCACAATAGTCTTTTTGTGAGCACTACCAAGTCGTAGTTTTACGTTATCACGTGTGTGTGTGTGTGCATGTGATGCAAATATTATTGGTTGGAGAAGTTTTTCTGTAGTGCGTTTGGGGGGGGGAAATGGAGCACCTCTCTGTAAAAACAAACTGTTGCTTTGACGGCATGCAAATGTTCATGTCGAACAGCTGTGTATTCAAACTAAACAACACTTGTTTTGATGTGAACCGGCCTTGAGTGTTTAGAAGGTACTAAATATATTTCTTTTCTCATTACAGATAAAGAGGAGTCCTGTAAACGTCCAGTGTGGTTCTGGCGCACATATTCTCCAGTGCAGTCACCTGGTGTAGAATTCATAAATATATATGTGCTTCTGTTTGTACAATTATCAGAGAAAATAAACCTCTTGCAGAGAAACGCCATCCATTTGAGTTCGAGTGTATGTCCTAATCAGCTTTGATGTCCTCATGAAAAAAAAATAATAAGTTTCCCGTCTCATGCTTGTTTTCCATTGGAATTAAAGCTTGTGAACTCTTCTTTGAAGCCGCGGGCTCGGCTATGCTCCGAGGTTATCAATACAAAGAGCATTTGAAGAGAAGACGTCTGCCAAAACAGAACACGAGGTCAATCCTTCCAATAAACTGGCGTTTACGGATTTTGCTTAAAACAGTATTAAGTTACTTTGAACTGATTACTGATAAACACTCTCTGGCGTTTACGGATTTTGCTTAAAACAGTATTAAGTTACTTTGAACTGATTACTGATAAACCCAATTGACTTAACGGCATCCTTATTGTTCCTTCTTATAATTGCCAATCAAAACAAGTTTAGCCTCCTTGTTATCCATTTGAAACTCAAGCCCGGCCAGCCACCACAGTATCAGATTAAACGATCGAGCTGCGGGTGTTGGGTGTCTGGATCCATGAAAGGGTGAATTTGGGGGTCACTGATTGTAGAAGAGGGTCTGATCTATTAAAGTAATGGACAAGTAGAAAGTTTGACCATATGGGTCACTCATACATTATTTAATCAGCTGCCACTGGAGCTCAGATTCTGATGGTTATCATCTGAGAACCGATGCACATCACCGTACCCAACCGTTGTTGTTTTTTTTTTCTTCTGAAGATGTTTTTGAGTCATCGGAGTTCATTATGCATTAGAAATTGTTTAAAAATATAAGAATATTAGTGTTTCAGTGCACAACCTGATGATTTCATTTGAAAACAAGTTTCATTTGTTGCATTCCGTCTTTACTGTACTAGTAGTAATATAAGTAAAATAAGCATATGATCTGACTTTGAAATCATTTTTAGCAACAACAAAAATGTGCTTGAAACTTACTGTCAGAAATATCTTTTCAGCATCAAAAATAATTTGCTTTAAATTTACTTTTGTATAAAAGTGAATCTTTCATTAAACGTTCCACAGTGGGGAAAGAGATATTTCTTTTTTTTTTTAATAAATATTAAATCCAACTCACACAGCCTTTTCTGAGTAAATTTTTATAAACTGGTATAGACTTTTACTTAAAATAACTAGTAACCATAGTTCTACTGTTAACTACCATAGTAGTTTTAATACTATGGTAGACATGGATATATAAAGTAAAATTATTACCTTTACCATATGTCAAAAATATATCATATACAAATCCACAAAATTCACGTGGACTTTTAAATTTTTTCTTTTAATGATTCACATAATTTTTTGGGTAAATCCTTATGTGACCCTACTATAGCAGTCTGTGGCATACAAAATTACAATTGAATATAATTTATTTAATGCACATAATAAACAGCAACGCAGACCTACAAATACGTGACCATACAGACACACAACTGTATATATATATATATATATATATATATATATATATATATATATATATATATAGTTGTGTGTGTGTATATATATATATATATATATATATATATCTTGTATATATATATATATATATATATATATATCTTGTATATATATATATATATATATATATATAACTTGAATATATATATATATATATATATTCCTTTAAGTTTATTTTATTCTTTTTTTATTCTGTTTTATTCTTTAAGTATTTTTTTTCTTTCAGTTTTAGTTAACAGCAATAACCCTTCAAATCAGATACTCTTTTTTATTATATGTGTAACAAAGCAACTATATCTGAACCTTTTCTTTTTTTGTGTGAGAGTGAGAGTTTGCAAAACATTGCTAATTTATGTGGCGTTGTTTTTTTAAATTTTATTTAAATGTTTGGAATGTTTTTGTAAATGTTGGTTTTTTTATTTTATTATCATTGAGAAACTATTATAGTTTTATCTAATATCTTAAATTAGTTTTAATTTTTTTTTAGTAATTAGTAGTTTTTTTGTATTCCTAACTAAGTTTTAGTAATGTTGTTTATTTCTGTCATTTGTATTAATTTTTTTAAATAGTCCTTTTTTATTAATTTTTATTTCATGTTTTGTTATTTTAGTACATCAAGTTAAACTAAATGAAAATTAGACATGTTGAGAAAATGAGAAAAAAAACTTGAAATAAAATAAGTTTATTTATATTTTATTTTATGTAAGCTTTTTTAAATGTAACTATAATAACACTGATTCAAAACAGATACATTGCATTTGTTTGTTGTCAAAGTGAGAGTCTGCAAAACATTGCTCATTGGGGGCCATGTTTTGCTGTTTTTGTGTGTTTAATTGGCCATGTTTGCAAAGTTTTTGTGAATGTTTGTTTTAAAAGTTTGGTTTGTTTGCATGCTTATGTAGAAATGTTTTGAAAACTTGGTTGTCACATGAAGGCGTTTGTTTTTGAGATGTAACTAATAACATTATGACACAGCCGAAAGGTATTTATTTTATTTAGTTAGTTGTTTGTTTGTTTAGTTAGTAGGGCTGCACGATTAATCGAATGCGATTGTCATGCGCATGTTGTTTAAAAAGCCGGTTCTGTAATCAGCAGGAAATCATCATCACGTGCTTTCAGATGGAGCGGAATTTACTACACATAGCCGTAGTTCACTGACAAGTTACTGAATTCAATTCTGAAATCGTTCGCGATAATGACAGCTGTTTGCATAGCTTCTCAGTGAACTACGGCTCTGTCAAGTAAAGGCTGTTCCATCTGAAAGCATGTGAAAATACCACATTTAATAACATATTTTTACTCCAAACTCACTTCATAACGTCAGTCGAGTGTTTGAAATAAATCCCTCTGTGAGATGATGTGGCTTCTTACACAGAATAAGGCACGCATTATATTTCATAGTATTTAAGCAGTAATAAAGGCATTGCATTATAAATATACTTTATTTTAATGAAAATTATAATAATAAGAACTCAGATAAACCGTATATTGCCGTAATCGTGTGTTTATTAGTCATGTTGAATCAATGAAAGCAGTTGAATCTTCTGTTTATTTTCTGGGTTTCTTCTGCGAGGCGTATTTGGAGTTTAAGCGCGAGAGTGCCCGCTGGCCTTTGGATGGAGATTTACTGCTGATCACAGAACCGTGCTTCACTGAAAGATACGCATGACAATCGCAGCTTCTGTCGAATCACGATCTCGATTCCATTTCGATTTATCGTGCAGCCTTATTACTTAGTATAATAACCGTATATTTTACCTTGTCTGAGGTAATTTCCTACTTATTGGTTTGTTTTCTTTCTCTCTTTAAATATTTTAGGCTTAAATGTGATCATTTATAATGTCCATTTATTTATTATTTGGTATATTAGGTTGCTGAACACACATTAATTCCATGTTTTGCATAGCATAATGTCTCTCTCTCTTCTTTCAGATGGATGTACAGACCCTGGACTGAGTGATGTGGACCAGGCTTTTGAACTTTTGGGAGTCAGTATATCTGAACTCGAGGACTATGTAAATAACATGGAGCCTGTTGGCTTCCCACAAACTATCCCTCAGTTTCCCATCAGCAAGAGCAGCGTTCTGCAGTTTCCTGCTGCTGGCTTTGACACGGACGCCCGTGATGCCCTGAGGGGTGAGAGGAGAGACTATATCCCAGAGTACTTCCCTTCGCTCGTCTCACTGCAGGAAGGTATGTACCACCATCGCTATAGAGGCAGAACCAAATATATGCAAGCAACAAGTTATCAAAACGTAATAGAACAGTGTTGAGTTGAAACTAACTGTACGTGACAGTTTGCTGATTTATTGGCTACTACATTGGAAGATGTATTTGCATTGGCAGCAAATGATACGCACAGAAATACTGAATTTAAGGGAATAGTAAATTACAATGGGTTTTTTTATATTTATATTTAATTTTAATTAGTAATTAACATGTCATGACCTGTGGTGTGTTTCTGTAAACACTGAAAGAAAAGAATGATATGATGCATAATATTTTCATCATTTTCATAATCATTGAAATGTTCCAGTAGAAAATAATTAGTTGACATGTTTTCCTTTGGTCACCGCTTACACATAATAAAGTGAAAATAACAAAATTAAAATGAGGTGAAAATAACGGTATTTGGAATCATTCCATTCTCTCATATAATAATTTTTTGTTTAATTTTATTTATTTAATGTATTATTTATTTATTTTATTTATCAAATATTTATCTAATTATTAAGTTGCAGTTCCTGTTAAATTATTCTTAAGATGCAGTTATTTGTTTAATATGTGCAATAAAATAACATGGAATAACTCTGTAACACATTATGTAATTTTCCATTTTCTCTTCCAATTCTTTTTTTCCCCTCCGCATGAAATATTATTTTCAACAAATTCCAGTTGATCCCCGATGATAATGTCTTATGTCTGATACCTTGTTTTTTAAGTAAATAGCGTGGACATAGATGTTGGAATTTTAATTTTAATTTTGGAATTTATCTGAATCATCTGACATAAAAGCGTTACATTATTTAATACTTTAGTTTAAAAATGGTTATCATTCTATTATTATATTTCTATACCAATCGAATATATATATACTGTCTTGCATATGCATTGTCTTGCCGCAGAGTGCAAACTCAAGTACTCATGCCCATCTTGCCAAAATGCATTGCTGTGTGCCCATATTGAGTTCTGTCCCGTACAGTGGTGCACACAGGAACCTACGTATCCCATGATCCCTCAGTGCTGCAGTCCTTCACTCTCACCCCATCCGGCTCGTATCTCCCACACACAAACACACATTCGCCTTCTCATCACACACAGCGGAGGCAGTGCCAGTGGGTGGTGGAGGGGCGGACATGATCAGGGTTGTTTCGGGTCGGACAGGAAGCTCTCTGGCTGTGAGGTGTGTTTGCGGGTGTCGGTGTGTGTGAAACAGGAAGTCGGCGGGCTGTAGGCTCCCAGCCATGTGTGTGTGAGAAGCTGGCGGAGGTCCGGCCCAGATGGCAGACATCCCAGGTGAGTGTGTGTGTGTGGGAGAGTCCAGCCAGGGCAGGGGGTCTAACTGGGCTTGGAGCCAGCGCTCAGCTGGATGCCCCTCTGCCAGAAGAAAGACTCAGGGTCTCTTTTTCTCCCTCTCCTCCATTTCCATTTGTTCCTTTTTTCCTGTCTCCTGTCTCTTCCTCATAGATCAGTTGGAGGCCGTATTACACCCGAACACACTTCCACACACTCATGCCACAAATCTACATGTGCTCTTATAGGCAAAACAGACAAAAGTTTAAACATACAGTACATTCTTCTGTTATACTGTATGTATTTCTCTCCAAACCACAAAGGTTATGGAGCCCCACTGTGTGTTTGAGTGTTACGAACATTAATGGATTTTTGTGGGGTTTGTATTTTTAGTGCTTTAAGGAAACTCATTTTTACTGCTGCTCATGGTATAGGTCAGTGATTTGAACAAAACCCTTATAATAAGGATTAAACGTTCACATGTTGCATTACTTGTGCCAGAACACCCTATAGCAAATCCATATCAACCAGTGTTATTTTATTATTCATTATATTATTTATATTTTGAATTAGCTTTTATATGTTCAGTTTTCTTTTTAGTTTAAGTTTTTAGTGAGTCATCTTTATATGAACTATTTGTAATTATATATAAATGTATATTATTTTATCATTTATATATTTTGTATATTTCTATTTAGCTTTATTTTTATTTCATTTCTAGTATTAGTAACTTTAGTGCTTCAACTCAAAATGTAAGTGTTTCATCTAAAACATATGGTTTTTGTTTGATTTTACATTAAGCTTAATTTAAATGAACAAACTAGGTTTTTAAGGGAACCAGGATATTAAATATAAACTTTTTTCCTAGTCTAGTATGATTCCCTTCTGCAGTAGCTTGTTTAGCCACAGATTGGCGCTATGTGACCACATTTTTGCTTTTTGATTTTCTCCATTTTTCTTGGAATTTATAATACTCTGTAAATGAAGATTTTAAATTTATATTAAGTGTTGAGTAGTATTATTATTATTTGCCTAACATTCATACTGTTTGCTTAAGTAAACAGTGTAGACAAATAAATTCTATTGGTTTTTGAAGTAAAAGTGAGTGGTGCTATCCTATTTAAAACTCACCAGCCTGCTGGAGTGTTTTGCAGGGTTGCTAGAGAGTTCTGAGTGGTTGCTTACTGACCCAAGCCAAAAGACCTCCGCTCGTAAGATTGTATGATGTTCTTGTTCCTAGATGGCTCCGAGGAAATATGTAAGAAAAGTAATAGCACACTTCTCCCTAACAAGCCACAAAATTTGAGCCGGTGTCAATTATGTAAAGTACAAACAATTAAACATTGATAGACTCTGAGATCAAATGCACAACAATGAAAATGTGTTTTTTTTTGGATCAGTGATTAAAATCATTTTGTCATAATCTGTCAATTTCAGTTTCATTACATGAACGCAGATTCGACAGAGTTGTTGTTGCTGCTGCAGTGGTGGGTTTTCTCCCAGTCAACAGGCTCTTTTTTGTCTATTGTGTGGGAGCGTATTGTTGTTCAGTCCTGAGGGAAGAAGGTAATGGGAGGTAGAGAGAGCGCGATTGCATCTGTACACTGAAATTACCAGTGATCACACAGGCTGATAAAGTCTCTTCGTCTATGCAGAGAGAGAACAAGATTAAGATGACTGCTCTGGAAATTTACAGCTGCAAAATAAAGCTACGTGAACGGACTGTGCTGTTGAGCCACACGTTGATCCAAATGTGCGGCACAAGAATATGGTCCTGTTGATCTTTATGTTGTTGAGGTGGTAGATGCAATAATGATCATTTTCTGCATCATTTGTCTGTTCATTCTAACAGCATATATGCTGTACAATGTGACATAATCACGGTCAGTCAAGACTTGTGTATGCTAAATATAAAGCTGTGTGGAACAGTAATTTAGACCAGTGAGATTAAGGATGGGCAGGCCTACCCAGCATGTTCCCACAAAATAAGCAACTAAGCAACAGGATGTCCCATTGCTCATTGCTTGTCGTGGGCTTGTTAAGAAACTGAGATTTACTTCAAAGAATCTATTTGTATAAATGCAATTTTTCACATTCTCATGTATGGTTTGCACATCATATATATGATTGCTTTGCTGCGTTTTTTCAATGTTAAATGGCTTTTGTTAGTGTTAACATGAAGCATGCAAAAATTGTTGCAGCAATCTGCTGTCTTTGGATTCACACATTTTCTCAAAAAAAAAAAACATGTCTGCATTTCAATCGTGCAGTGCAACAAAATTATATGTTGCAATTAACAAACCTGTCCACTTTGTATACTTGCTTTGTAGGCAGCTTCTAGATTTTATTGCACTGCACATGGCACTTAGAGTGTAGACAGTATTTCTTTGTTATAATGGTAGCTTCCAGTTTTTATTGCGTTGCATGCTTTGCTTGCAGGTTTGACATCTTTAATTTGAACAGGAGCTGCTAGTTTAGCTGCATTGCATGCAGCATAGATAGCTCATTTAATAATAAAAGGTGCTGCTGGGTTTGCAAAATTTATGCTAAAAAACCAGCAGCTGTGGTTGCCAGAATTTTACTGTAAAAATACGGTAACAACATTTTAGGTTTTACGATTTAACTTAAATTTACATTTAAATACCGTAATTAACTGATATAATGTTAATACACCAACCTATTGAACTAGTGAAATCTGTTTTGTACCTTTGTAATACACTGATAACCACCAAAAGCAGGTGGTGATGAGAAAGTCACATGATGAACCAAAGCCCATCACAAGCAGCTTTTAAATATGAACATACATAGAAGGTGCACAGTGTCGTTCACACAAACACTAAACACCATCATGGTAACACACATGTAACTGAAATAATTTGTCCCATTACATGCTTGATGCTACTTTTTTGCATTGCATTGTATTGCATGAATGCATCATAGCGGCTTTGTTGATATAACAGCCACTGCTAGGTTTGTTGCATGACATGCATTATAGACAGCAGCCACTATCACACTGCATGCATTAGACAGCTTTGTTAATATTAACAGGCACTGCTAGTTTGTCGCATTGCATGCATGCATCATATGTAGTTTTGTTGGTTATTGTGGAAGCTGCTAGTTTTGTTGGATTGCATATATGCATCATAGACTGTGCAGTACAGACAACTTTGTTAATTGTAACATGAGTGTTGCAGTTTTGCAAGCCTTATATTTAGTCCCTTTCCTTTATTAAGACAATCATCCCATCGACTCTAGTTTTGACACAAGAGCTGTCTCTCTTCTACGCTGCTCTCTCGAAGTGTAGACACTGTGAGTCTCCTGGTCCAGGGGTGCTGATTATCACCTCAGTCTCTGCTATAGCGTGTGCTGTGCTTCTGTTAACTTATGAATTGAGCAAGCCCTGTATTTGACTCGCTTCGTTATCGGCTCTTTTCAAAGCTTCACAAGGGCGTAAAATGATTAGAGGAGAGCCTGACAATGCATGAAGAGATTTGCACAGTTTCCGTAGATGTCAGGTGCAGCCGTTATACTCTAAAAAGAGAAAAGGATGAATATTAAAGGCCTCCGTCTTTTCTCCTTTTCTTCTGCCGCGACATTCACATCGTCTTTAGAGAGAATAGGGCCCAGGGCCCGCTCTGATTGGTAAGGGCACGCTCCCGTAGCCAGGAGAATCCGACCTGATGAAAAGAATTTTGTCTTTTAAGTATAATAGTCATTACTGTCTCACATTCACTCTGCCTGTCTCTCTCAGGTCAGCCGTACCCTGTTTTTACTGAAATGGTGCTGGTTCACATGCTAGAGCCGGCGCTTGGCCATTGTCTGGACGGAAATGCTTTGAGAACATATTTGAACTTACTTCCATCTTATTTTCACTGATCCCACCACATCTTCAAAAAAAAAAAAAGTTAAACAACAAATAATTTATTAATACAAATTAATTAGCTAAAATATAAAAAAATATGAATACTTAAAAATATATTTTTAATTAGAATTTAAATGCTTGTATACAAATAAATCAATATTCCTGCATGATTTTTCTGCCTAAAATAATTAAAAACTCAGCAGGTTTAAGGGGCCAGACAATTTTAACATCCAGGACGGCCTTTTCTACCATGGAAACATGCAGAACGGTTCCAGATTGGCCACTGGTACCCTATCTGTAGAAAAGGGGCTTCGGTGTGCTGTTTATGTCTGTCTGTGACACTCTCGCTGATGTAGTAACTCCTGTATTATCTCTCTCCCCTCCTCTTATCTCAATGTATTTCCCTTCCTCGTCCCCCTTTGCTCATGGAGAGAGAGGGCTATCTGCTCTTTGTAGTTTTCTGACTATTTATGTCGGACAAGGTCAGAATCGTTTAAACTTGCCTGGCTCTCTCAGACCCAAAGATAAGATGAGAGCAGAAAGGATTGGGATCGATGGAGGAGTGCAGATTTATTCTCCTCTCTCTCTTCCGCTCTCTCTCTTTGTCTCTCGTCCATCCTTCTTGCTCTTTTACAGAGGTTTGGCAGCGTTGGATCCATTTGTCTTTTTTACTTTCCATTCGTCGACCCCTTTAAAATACTGTACCTAAACGGGCCACTTTGCTCATCCAGATCAAATCAAAGAGCAAATTAAAATGCTATCAAATAAATCTGACGGACGGTTCGTACTTGCGGGACAAGAGGAGAAGCCTCCGAGAATTTCCTTGTGTTTGAAAAACTCAACTTTATGCCTTGCTTAAATTAATAGCTCACTCCAAAATGAATATTCTGTCACTATTTACTCACCTTCATGTTGTGCTAAACTTTCTTTTGTAGAACACAAAATGAGGAGTTTGGAAGAATGTTCATGCTGCCCTTTTCCATACAATAGAAGTGGACGGTTGCTAAAGCTGTTAAGCACCAAAAAGGACACAAATTAAAGAAGTCTATATGAATCAAGAGCTATATTTCTAAATCTTCGAAAGCCTGCATGGCCTTGTGTGAGGGACCTTTTGTGCATTAATGTACTGTATCTCTTATAT